ACTCCAAAGGACCGCATAAATAGAAGCTGAACGTAAACGAATATTTATTCGATCAATAAAAGGTTTAACGGAAAACGGTTTGAGGATAGGCCTCGGCCCAGCACAAACGAGTGACGTCTGACGTCTGACGGTCCGGTCAGTTGTCTCGGGCAGTCGGGCGGGCTCGGGCCTCTATGTATCTGTTCAGCTGTTGAAATGGTGTTTTTTGATACAATTTGATTGTTTTATTTATTTTGTTTTGTAAAATCAAAAACAGCCCATCCATCATCCATGTACCAAGGTAATTAAATCGGGCCGAAAATAAGAACTGTTCAGATTAGCTAAATCTGGATTTCTCTTTATTTCTAATTATAAATTTTTTTTTTTTGGCATATTTCAAGAATAAGATTAAGTTTGTTCTAAATAATCTGCGACAGCATCAAGGTCGTATTTAGTATGTACAAGTAGAACATCTTCTATACTTAGAATCTAACATTAATCGGAATCCTTCAAAACGCGATTATTAGTTCTAAATATGCATAACTAGTGAAGTTTCAATGCCACGTACAAATATTGTCCAAACAATATCGTATATGCATTCTTGTAACCGTAATACAAGCTACAGCTGCTAAAATCGAGAAAAAACGTATTCACGCTATTCGATGTGCCTTGCCATCGATTGCACGATGAATATCATTTCCTGAACTTTTTTTTTGTCAAAATTCACTTCATATTCACCCACAAATGATTAGAATCGCATTATTGATGTTTAATTATGTTTATGGAAGTATACCGAGGGTCGGAAAATCACTAACGAAGCGACATAGTTAAATTACTACACCTAATAGTTGTGACCTGCATGCACATGTATGGTAATTTGAGCAATTATAATGAGCCCTCTATACCACAACGATGTATTTTGAACTAATAACACTTATATTTATTATGTATGAGAACCTTTGGTTTAAACTGTTAATACACGACCGTAATGCATGGTCGAAAAGTGCACAATCCTGTTATTTGAAATACATCAATATTTTTACATAAATGCACGAACCATCAACTTGGCGCCCTCGACAAAATTCTTTTGATATGTTTCTAAAAAAGTCTAGAAAAAATATGGAGATTATATCTGAAATCGGATTTTTAGTGAATTAAGTTTGTTGAAAACAAATCGAGTCCCGGATGCGAACATTGGGAATGGGGGCCCACTGGGGTGAATAAACATAGCCTCCTAAATAAATGTATCCGAAACGACAATTTTTAATTTACAATTAAATATGTAGTAAATATTTAACGACCCCCATCAACGACAGCTTTTAATATGAAAAAAAGAGGGCATAAGGCCATAAGCCATAAATAACTTTATAGGGCCCATAAGATCTCTTTTTTTAAATTTTAAATGACCAGTTCGAAATGAGCCCATGTGGCTACGAGGCTATGAGGATTTTAGGGTTTAGGGGTTTAGGGCACTCTCAGTAAAAACGAGAACAAAACTGGCTCACACTCACAGAGTCACAGTCCACAGAGTCACAGTCCACAGAGTCATAGACTCCACGAGAGTCCACGAGAGAGGAGTCCACACTCCACACTCTCCACAGTGTCCATACTCCACAGTTCAGAGTCACACGCACGTCGCACGGTCGCACGCTGTACACTGCACACTGCACAGTGCACACTCCAGAGTACAGAGTACAGACTACTAGGGAGACTACTCCAGAGAGAGTACAGAGTCTCTAGCTATTATCTAAAAATAGAAAATATAATACACTCTAAAACAATTTGTAATTTCTATAAAACAAATGAGAACAATACTCTCAAGAATCAAGAGAGTGAGTGGGTGAGGACTGAGTGGGTGAGAACTGAGGACGAATGTCTTTATACGGCACTGGTGACAATAAAATTATTAAGTTGTATCAACATGGCCCCCTATGCGATCTAAGTTCGTCAGCTGATATTTGATTTGTCCCAAATAAAAGTTTCAACTTCCATTTTGGAATGAGATAAAAAGTATACATGTCAACTTTTACCTCCTATGGTGATATGCCTATAATTAGGTTTCAAACATTCAATACAATTTCCCAAGAATACATACTTTCAACACAAATACGCCTCATGATCGCATCAGTCATCACTCTCATGAAGTCTCACTGTCTCAGAGACTCAGAGTCTCAGACTCTCAGTCTCCACTCTCAAGAGTCAAATTTCAAGTCTGAAGTCTCAACACTCGCATATTTAGTTTTACATGATGTGTGATCCAACAGACCACACTCACAAGTCTCAACACTCCACAGTCCTCACTCACCAAGCAGGAGTGCAAAACTGCAGGACACACTCCTTGTCCACAGTTGTGACTCTTTTGTGGGTACAATACTGTGATTCTCAGAGAACTCTCAGAGACTCCGTCACTCAGAGTGTGTGACTACTAGTGACTAGAGTGACTACTGAGTCAAAACTACTAGTAGTAGAGTAGACTCTGAGTGCTGTGTACTTATAGTCGTATATCACTGCACTCTGCAGTACTATAGAAATAATAAAACAATAGCAGTATTTTTCTAATCTGATGACAACATATTTAAAAAAAATGTGTCTGGGCTCCCGGCAGTGTTGTCTACTCTCTACTACTACTAGAGGACTGATAGTAGTAATGACTGACGAGTAATGACTGTAAACTGTAAAGTCTGGTGTCTGGCTGGTGCCTCATGGTCGCTCTACAAAAGAATACACTCTACACTGGGTACAGTCTACAGCAGTCTACACTACAGTCTACAGTCTACAGCTTTACACATCATGAATCATGATATGTGTACACTGAGTGTACACTGTGCTACGGCCAATGTACGCGATGACGTATGTCGCCTCGAAAGTTGACGAGTGATAATGAGTGTTAAATGGTTACTCAAAGAGTCAGAGGAAGGCGCAAACTGGATTGTCGCGTAAATGAGAAACTAAAAAAATATACACAATTGATTTACTATGTTCAATTTTCAGAAGGCTTTGAATATTGTTAGTTGAATTGTTTTATTTTTGTTTGTTTGTCTTTTAATAAACCTTCCTTTTGACACGAAGCCGAAGGCTGCAAAAAATGTTGAAATTTTCAGAAAGCTGATCTATTTTTCAAAACATAAACGTTTATTTTTAAAGTTCAAGTTTTAGATTAGGCCCTTGTTTTTAAACGGATTGAGGTTTCTCAATAAAAAGTGATGCAATGTATTTATACTTTTTATTAGAAGACTAAAAGGATGCAATTTGTAAATTTCTTCCAACACACAACGGTCTAAAAAAATAATATTCAGATGGTTATGAAATATTTTCAAATTATAAACGTCAATGACTTCTCAAAAGTGCAGTGGCCAGGCATCTGTGTCGTGAGTCGTGAGTCGTGAGTCGTCAACTCGTCACTCGCGTCAGAAACTCAGAAGTCAGAACTCTTTGCAACTCGGAAGTTCTCATTTTATATTTTGTTAAAAGAAATAAAAATGTAAAGACACAACAATAAACACTTCACTCTGCTCCTAACCTCAAACCATTTTCCGTTAAAACTTATATAAATCGAAAATATGCGTTTATGTTCATCTTTTATTCCATATGCGGTCCTTTGCATGTTTATAGGTGTATTTTTCGGGTCTAAGAATTGAAGTGTGTATTGATTTCAACATACGATCCAGTCCTATAAAAGAAATTAAGTATACCTTGTGATCACATTTTAACCGTTATAGCATTTAAAATTGAATAAATATGCGTTTACGCTCAACTTCTATTCCATACCCCCATAACGTAATGAGCTTAGCAGTCTACTCTAGTAGAGGACTCCTTCGGACGTTATTTATATTTATGTTCGATCCCCTATATCTTTCTAGAGTAAATAGAGAGAGTGTGTGTGGTAGTTGGTTATTTAATGCTAGTAGAGAAGTCTAGAACTACATTTGGTTTTAAAAAGTAAATAAACAGACCACAATACAAGACTCCAAGAGTGGGCAACTGGGCATATTTTAATTAATTTTATTTGTTTTACAAAAAACAAATTTAATAAATATATTACTATTTATTTATTTATATTGTTGTTCAAAGAAATCCATCTATATATCAACGGACTTCACGACAATATTTACATATTTATATAGTTGACAGCGGAGAAAATAGTGAATATGCATTTAATAATATCTTGACTACTGACTTCCGTTTTGAAATGCATGTAGCCCTGCGAAGGTCTGCGAATCCGATATAGTCTTACCTTTTGAGAATTTCAGAATACGCTTTGTACAAAGAGATCTCCGTGCTAAGGGCGCGTAACACAAATGAATTAACAACCGTTGTCGGGCGGAGTGGGTGAAATTGTTTGTAGATGGGTCGTTTTAGCCATCACAGGACGCGAGATTGTAGTACTCACTAATAGCATCGTACTACATTCATTATTCTTTGAATACAGTCTACAAGTCCGAAACAGCCTTCCCTATTGAGAACTCCCTTTCAAGCTTTGTACAAAGAGATCTTCGTGATAAGGACGCATCACAACAAAAATAAAAGGGTATTAGGCAGGGTGGGTGGGTAACAGAATCATTGCAGGCCGATTTGGTCATTAAAGGGCGTGTAAGCTAGTTAAGCAAACTGCTGCACGATGGACGAGCGCAAGGTCCCACCGACGCTTGATGCGTCCCAACTGAGAACTGAGAAGGACAAAGCACCACTTATATCCTTGCCAGTGTCAGGATTCTCAAATGTGGATGACCAACAGTTGTCTTCTAGTAGGCACGGCGGTTCACTAGACAGACCTGTGTCAATCGATTCGAACTTGCGAAACCACATAGCCCAATCGCACACCCTACTTGAACTCGAGTATGCCTGGTATCAGATCTTCGAGGTCTTACGGACTGTGCGCGCGAGTAGGAGAGTGTCGGGCAAAGAATTCAACATACTCAACGGTTGGGGGTTTGCACTAACAGTCTTCTTCCACGCCGTAGTATTTTCCGTATTGGCATACTTCTCAATCGAGAATACGAAGATTTTTACACCTATATCTGACAAAAAACTGGGGATCTTGTGCATGATTGGGGCGTGGTGTCTGCTGATTGCGGAGTTGCTCTTCACAAGTGGCTATCTCATGACGAAGTTAAAACACCCGCTTGTTCGGAGCAAAGGAAGTGTTTATTTAATCATGGTATCAGTAGCATTGTTGAGCTTAGGTACAAGTTGCACATTCACAAACTTGGTCCGTATAGGCGTGATAAATACTAACGCGATCGTAGTATCATTATCAGGCGCGATAGCCCCAGCCAGTACTATACTCTTGCTGGGTGCCCTAGCAGCTCGTCAGCGGCTGATATATCTGCTGTTCGAGGTTAAAGTAAGTTCATCAAGCAACATATACTATCAGTCATATATATGGGTGGCTCTGTGGTCCTTACTCGTCGGAAGCGTGGTTTTCACGCTGAGCTGTTTAGATTTTACCAGGTTCAAGAGAGCAACATACATCGTTGTCAACACGGGGTATTACGTAGTGCTTGCGGTCCTTACGTACTACTCCTACAAATCCCGTGGTATCAAACTTGCATTCTCGGATTGGAGATCGAACGTGGTAATCTCACTTCTATGTACAGTCATGTCGACATTTTTTACCTTGGTGAACGCTTTGTGGTTGGATCGTATGACACTGTACTCTCTCGAGTGGGAAAGTGAGCAAATTGCGGCGCTCTTGATCATGTTCAATGGTTTGATATTTTCCGCTTGTGTGTGCACCGTCTTCCTCTTTGGCCAGATAGCCCTCATAGTTTTTTTTGACTTGAATCCATCCGAGGACCTCGACCCATTATCTACATTTGACTTCCATCTACCTGCCGGTGGTCTCAGCCAATATGCACCCGCTGTTCCACCTGCCGTTCCACCTAGAACATACCCGAACCCTGGCGGTATTTTAAGTTCATCTATAGTCAGCACACAACCGAGCACTGGCGGTGGCTTAAGTCCATCCAGGGCCAGCATATACACGAGCACTGGCGGCGGCGTCTTAAGCTCATTCAGTGCCCCACCGATTAACATCACGCCAACAATACGATCTGCAGCCTCGGTTTGAGTTTGGATCCCGACTTTGTGCCACAAGTAAGCAACATAGTGGCGGCGGACGTTACACATGGTTGACTTCCGAGTGGATATATTCGAGAGTATATTGGCCAGCGAAACAAATCCACCATCCAAATCCACCATTCAAAACATGTCAAAGGACACCGAATACCGAAAACATGTCAAAGGACACCGAATACCGATCTGCATATTATATATATATATATATATATATATATATATA